GCGGTCCCAGATTGCAAGGGGGATGTCCGATTGGAGAGGGTGCAGCCTGTGCTGAGGGGAACCTTCCCCACCCCACCTCTGCACAAATTTCATTCACTGGGCCACTATTATTAAATAAGAGTGGTGAAACTGGATGTCACTGTCTTGTTCAGGTTCTTAGGGGAAATGGTTTTGGTTTTTGCCCATTGAGTATGATGTTCGCTGTTGGTTTGTCACATATGGCCTTTATTATGTTGAGGTATGATCAATCTATTACAACTTTGCTGAGAGTTCTTGTTTTTTGCCAAAAATGGGTGTTGGATTTTGTCAAATGCTTTTTCTATATAATCATGTGCTTTTTGTCTTTGAATTTGTTTATGTGATGTATCACGTTTATTGATTTGCGAATATTGTACCAGCCTTGCATCCCTGGAATAAATCCCACTTGATCATGGTGTATAATCTTTTTAATATATTGCTGAATGCAATTTGCTAATATTTTGTTGAGGATTTTAGCATCTATGTTCATCAGGCATATTGGTCTGTAATTCTCTTTCTTTGTAATGTCTTAATTTTTGGAATTAGAATAACACTGGCCTCATAAAAAGAGCTTGGAAGTGTTCCTTCCTCTTGGATTTTTTGGAATAGTTTGAAGAGGATAGGTGTTAGTTCTTCTTTGAATGTTCAGTAAAACTTCCCTGTGAAGCCATCCGGATGAGGGCTTTTGTAGGCTGGGAGTTTTTTGTTGTTGTTTTTTTTTTACTGCTTCAATTTCTTCAGTTGTTATTGGGCTATTCAGGTTTTCTGTTTCTTTCTGATTCAGTTTTGGAAGATTGTACATTTCTAGGAATTTGTCCATTTCATACACATTGTTTAGCTTGTTGGCATATACTTGTTCATATTGGTTTTTTTATAATCCTTTGTATTTCTGTGGTGTCAGTGGTTACTTCACTACTTTGGTTTCTGATTTTATTTATTTGGGTCCTATCTCTGTTTCTTGATGAGTCTGGCTAAAGGTAGAGCTTTGAGCTGATCTTGAAACTATATATCGGACAAATGATTACCAATTTCTTCTCTAAATTTATTATTTTAGTTTGACCATAAAATGTTTATTACCATTAATTTCAAACTAGGCTGCAGGACACATATATCTTTAAATTTGCTTTCTAAAAATAATTTTGGAATTCCCTGTTTGGGCAAAGTAAAATGTAAGAATTCATTGGAAATTTCCCTCTTCTTCCCTCTCTTTCCTCTTTCTCTTTCTCACTGTCTTTGTTTAAGATACATTCATATTGCCCTAACCAATTTGGTTTAGTGGATAGAGCTATTCTGGTCCAGGGCACATGCCTGGGTTGTGGGCCCGGTCCGATGTGCAGGAGGCAGCCAGTCAATGATTCCCTCTCATCATTGATGTTTCTATCTCTCTCTTCCTCTCTGAAATCAATAAAAACTGTATATATTTAAAAAATACATTCACGCCCTGGCTGGCTTAGCTCAGTGGATAGAGTGTCAGCCTCCGGACTGAAGGGTCCCAGGTTCAATTCCGGCCGAGGGCACATGCCTGGGTTGTGGGCTCCATCCCCAGTAGGGGGTGTGCAGGAGGCAGCCAATCAATGATTCTCTCTCATCATTGATGTTTCTATCTCTCTTTCCTTCTCCCTTCCTCTCTGAAATCAATAAAGAAATATATTTAAAAAAATACATTCATATTTTTATAGGAAGTCTATATAAGAAATGGGTAAGAATATAGATTATTAATCACAGTGAGTTAGTCATTACAAATGCAATATATTAAAATCATTGTAAGGCTAATTATTAATTATTGAGTGTTCTGATGGAATGAACTTGAATACATTTCTTATTCTTTTGACTACATGTTTGATGTAGATCTCAGGAAGTTCTTAGTTCTTTTTGATAATGAAAAACTATTACCCTTTAAAATAGGACCGTGTTTTAAATCCTGATTAACTTAATAACTAAATGATAATAAAATCCTTAGAATATAGTTTTAACATTTTTTATGTGTGTATGCAGTTTGAATATGTATATTGTGTACAGGTTGACCTTAATATTTCTTGACTTTTTAGAGCTCAAATTATAAATTACTTCAAAAATACTTTGTTTAAAGGGTAAATACCATTTATTTTGAATACTGTAAAAACATAACAGGTTGTTATGAAAAATAAACTGGATTTTTCATTCTATTTTTGTTTAGTAACTTTATTTTAAAATACTTTAGTAAGCTTTTAAGGATATTCTGGAAAGTGAAATTTTCTCATAACCGAATGCTAAGTATGTTTTTGGTTCAACTTTGAAACGACCATACATTTAATATAGTGTATACCTGGTAGTCTAGCTTGATACATTTTTGTTTAATAAATATATGATTTAAAAGTTCTGGTACCAGGGTAGTGCCTCGCCTGGAACATAGTGAACTTACCAGGTTCCTGTCACTACTATAGCATTTACCACATTTTATTATGTCTTCTCCCCTTCCTGTGATGTTGGTGCTTGCTCATTAGCTTTATTATTCTTCACTAGAGGCCCGATGCATGAAATTCGTACAAGGGGCTTGGCCCCCCGCCGCTGCCTCTGCCTCAGCCCCTGCCCGCAGCAGCTTCATCTGGAAGGTCGTCCAGAAGGACATCCAGTCTAATTAGCATATTACACTTTTATTATTAGAGATAGTGTTTGAAATAAAGTATTTTTTCAGCAAACTTGTTGAAAGAGTAAAAAGTATATACAGTTGCATTGTTCAGTCTCTATTAAGTATAATGCACTTTACTAATCGCATGTTAATTTCAGTATCAGTATACTTGGAGAGTCTGGAGACTCCTTAGTGAAACCATTAAGTTGAAGTTGTCTGCCATCAGTTGAATAGGCTTACAGACAAAATTGAATCCTTCCTCAAAACTTCATAGGAGCAGATAGCAAGCCTTAAAACGCTATAAGAAATTGACAATATTTAAAGAGAATTTTGTTAAGTGTGAAAAACTAAAGATCTAAACAGCTGAAGGGTAACAGGTTGCTGTATATTTACAGTTGTCTTTGCATCTCATAGCTAGTAGAATAATTCTAAAGTAAATTGAGTTTCACATTATACAATTACATAGTAGTAGATGCCTTTGGTGCCTCACAGAATATACCCTTAGTCGTCAGTTGGGGTGGACAGACACTGTGAGCTCAGAGGCCCCAGCCCTGACAGAGTTTCACTTTAAATGTGTGTTGCTTTTTTTTCTACTTTCTGCAACACTGCTGGAGTCCACTGTGGATGGTCCCTTATTTAGGGCCTAAGTATAGACTAGAACAGCGGTTCTCAACCTGTGGGTCGCTACCCCTTTGGGGGTCGAACGACCCTTTCACAGGGGTCGCCTAAGTCCATCGGAAAACAAATATATAATTACTGTTTTTGTGATTAATCACTATGCTTTAATTATGTTCAATTTGTAACAATGAAAATACATCCTGTATATCAGATATTTACATTTCGATTCATAACAGTAGCAAAATTACAGTTATGAAGTAGCAACGAAAATAATTTTATGGTTGGAGGTCACCACAACATGAGGAACTGTATTAAAGGGTCGCGGCATTAGGAAGGTTGAGAACCACTGGACTAGAAGTACCAGTTGTTAAGCAGTTGTTAACACTTAGTTAATGGAAGATGGTGACTGATAGATAAATGTTCCAGCCTCGCATCCGGTAGGTGAACAATTCCAGAAGCCTTCTAGATGCTTCTCTGTTGCCCACAGCAGCAACCTCAATAATACACTCTGGTATTAGCATTTTTTCCTTTCTTGTCTTGTTCTTCCACTCCCTCACTCCTGTTTCCATATAAACTACTTGTACTTAGGTCTTTCTCTTAAATTGTACTTTCTATAGACTTTAAATTATTAAAGCCAGAAATAGTGTTATAAACCATCATAGATAGGTTTATTAAAATATCATTAATCAAAATATTTGTTTCAAAAACTTAACTTCCTATAGTTTTGTACTGACACTGGTATATAACTACATCTGAAAGATGTTGCAAAACTGAGGAGGACTTTGAGTATTTAGAAGAATTTTGTTTGCCTACTTGTTTTTAGTGGGAAATTATTACCAATCTGCTACTTAACAAATTGAGAGCCCTGTCACTACACAAATATTAGATTAGTGATTAATGAAAATTTTGTTGTGTAAGAACAATACCCCCCAAAGGGAAAACTTTTGGGTTTTAAATCAGTGTTCAGGCCAAGACTGAGACTGATGCTTACCTGACTGTGTATGTGAGGGTATGTTTGTACGCTACTATTTTTCTTGATTTGTTCAAATTAGAAGGCTATTAGTTTGGTTTTCAACTCAGTACTTTTTGAACTCTACGCTTAAAATAACCAATCATTTTTCAAATTTTGAATAGATAAGTGTTGTTATAGTTGAACTATACAATTTAAGTTTATTCTGTCACCAAACAATTGCCTACATTTGAACGTGAGGCAAGAGAACTTAAATCTTTATGTCTAAGGACATTGAATGAAGCCACCTTGATAATTTTTGTTCACTCTTTTGCTTGAGGAAGAAAATGTATATTCTTAGAAAAGTCAGATTTAGAAAATTATGTTAAGGTCATTTATTTAGCCATAGCTTTCTCATACCTCTCTTTATAAGAACTCACATTGATATTTCAGATTTCATATTAAGTGTGATGACTGATTTAATTTTTTTAAAAAGATAATTGCTGGAAATAATACAGTGCCCAGATAATGTACCCAGTTTATAATTTTTATTCAGAACATTTCATAAAGACTCCAAACTTGGGAGAGGCTTTCAAGGTAGTTTCTTTAGTAACATTTTTGCCCTAGGATTACAAAAGTACAGTATACCTAAAGCAAGTCCAAATGTATAAATAAAATTATTTAACTTGCTTGCTAACTTGTATGGCCCTCTCATCCATCACCCCCTTTTCAGGACAGGGAACTGATAAATATGTAGAGACCCAAAAGTATAATTAACTTAATTTAATTTTTTTTCCTTGTTTTTAGTGGGAGATTTTGATAAGATCTGGCGAGAACATTGCGAGGATGAGGAAACACTTTGTGAATATGCTGTTGCAATGAAAAATTTGGCAGATAATCATTGGGCGAAAAGTTGTGAAGGTGAAGGACGTATTGAATGGTGTTGTAGGTGAGTGTTTTTATGAACTAGCATGTTTGGTTTCTAATGTATTGTTGACATGCTCCAATTTAAATAATGCTATGCATAATTTATTATACCAAAATAAAGTGTTTGAAAACAGTTGATGTCTTTGAAACAACTTCTTGCCCTTTGTTTCACTTCCTCTAGATTTATTTCATTCATCTTTTTAAATCAAAATATTTTTCTTTAACATAACTTTAAATTTTCTGCTTCAGCTTTATAAAAGAATAGCTTTAAAAGTGCATTTAACATTAATATGATAAAATATGAAATTTAACATGATTCATCATTAATAAGTTATAGTATAGAAATTTCTTTAGATAAATATTCACAGTTGGATTCAAGTAAAAGTGAGTACTTTTCTATAATTTAAAATTTGAAGACATCTTAAAAGTTTTAAAATCCTGATTTTTTTGTGTGTGTGTGATTCAGGGTATTCCAACTTTTATATTGACTTTGGATAATGTTTATTTTCTCATAGTATAGATTCTAATGTTTAAAACATCAGAAAGTGCAATACTGATGATCAGCTCTCTCAAAAGTTGATAAAATTATAGGAATGAGTATGTATATTGACTGAATTTTAAAATGAATTCCTGCCGAAACCGGTTTGGCTCAGTGGATAGAGCGTCGGCCTGCGGACTGAAGGGTCCCAGGTTCGATTCCGGTCAGGGGCATGTACCTGGGTTGCGGGCACATCCCCAGCGGGGAGTGTGCAGGAGGCGGCTGATCAATGTTTCTCTCTCATCGATGTTTCTAACTCTCTATCTCTCTCCCTTCCTCTCTGTAAAAAATCAATAAAATATATTAAAAAAAAAATAAAAAAATAAAATAAAATGAATTCCTAGAAAACAAAACATTATCTTTCTACATGGACAATAAGTTTGTGATAACTTCAGGTTTGTATTTTATATGTAATTATTTTTTATTAAAAATTTCAATGTTAATCTCATTTAAAAATTATGTAATAGTGTCTTTCATTCATTCAACAAATGATCTAGAGAAAAAGATGTATTTAAATTAGTTATTTTATTTATTCATTTAATAAGTAATGTATAGTGTTTGTTGTCTGCTGTCTATTAGTCATATCATAGACACTGGGAGTACAACAATCAACCAAACAGGCAAAATCCTTGCTCTCATGGAGTTTATATGCTAGTGGGGATTAGAGGCAAGAAATAATACATAAATTAAATATGTAATAGGTCAGAGATGGTAAGTGCAATGAGAAAAATGAAGTAAGGAAAAATAAAATAGTTTTAAGTAGGGTAGACAAAGAAGGCCTCACTGAAATAATGTGTGTAAAAGACCTGAAGGAAGTGGGAGAACAAGCTCTAATAATTCCAAAGGCCTTGAGGCAGGAGCATGCTGGCATGTTTCAGAAACAGCAAGGAGACCACCAGGGTGGCTAGAGCAGAATGAGAGGGGGAAAATGGTAGAAAATAAGATACTGAACAGCTAGTTTTTGTAGGGGCTTGTGGACTGTTGTGAAGATACTGGCTTTTATTCTGCATGAGATGAGAGGTCATTGGATGTTTTAAGAAGAGGAGTGATAGGATTTTTTTAGCCTTTTGAAATATCATTAATTCTTAAGAATTAATTGCTCTGTTAAGGTAGACCTATAGGAAGGTCAGGGTGTAAGTAAGGAAACCAATTTGGAGGCTACTGTAATAATCAAGGCACAAAGTTATAGTGAAACAGTTTTTCTTGGAGGGTGAGGAAGTGAATGGATAGGACGGTGTAATTGGATTAATGCTCAAATGATTATAATGACTTAAGAGAGTGACAAGTGAGATGAAAGTGTATACATTGTGGTGGTATGACAATGTGTAAGGAGAAAGTTGAATGTGAGGTGGGTAAGGAGCAATGAATTAAATAGGTGGTACCCTTAATGAGTTCTGGAATCAAAGAACTGTGGAGTTGGGAAACTATAGGAAGGAATCAGAATAATAGGAAATAGGGTACTTGGAATTGAAATGGTTTTTTTGGGGGTGGTGTTTGGTTCTGAGAGAAAATGGTTATAAATCTGACTTTTCTAAGAATACACATTTTCTTCCTCAACCTAAGAAATACAAAATCAGGTGTATTGCTAAACTAAATATTTCCCTTCTAACACAGAAGAATAATGTGATCCAATCAGGAAATCAGCACCATCACTACTTGAGATCATTATTCTTGGCTTTTAGCAACACTGCTTTTATATTAGTACTGCAGCCCGGCAGGTGTGGCTCAGTGGTTGAGTGTCGACCTATGAACCAGGAGGTCACAGTTTGATTCTGTCAGGGCCCCTGTCTGGGTAGCGGGCATGCAGGAGGCAGCTGACTGACGATCGTCTTTTATCACTCATGTTTCTATCTCTTTCTCCCTCTCCCTTCCTCACTGAACTCAATAAGAATATATTAAAAAATAAATTAGTATTACAGTACATAAGGTAAGTTCTTAGACTTTATTTTTTAAATGGGCTTTGATATTCTTATAGGAGTACTTGTTTGTACCTTCTACTTGAATAATGAATCTGCCTCCCACTTCACTCTTCTTTTTCCTTAGATATATGTTTTTATCAATAGTTATTGTATCTACCTATGTTCTGAAAGAGGTTATTTTAAGGTCAAACTTCTAAAAAAGAACATTAATAAGCATTTAGCTTAAACTGTTGAAAAAGAACTGTAGGTGGCAAAATACGGTAAAAGATTTTACTATGGGAAGTTGTCCCAAGAGGAGTTTTATAACGTCTACTTTAAACTTAAAAGTAGGTTGGGAAAAGCCTTCAAAACAATATTGAAACTTGAATTCTCTGTAGTTAGTTATAACTTGCATTATTTATACTTCCTTTCTCTGTTGACAGTTCTCAGGCAGCAATGTCACTTTGAAAGCTAAAATGGGCTTTAAAAAAGGGTGTAACAAGTTTGTTTCCAGTTAGTTGTACTTAAAACTTTATTGGAATTTAGCATGTGAGTTAAGTATTACTGACATTACCCTGCTAAGATTTTGTTGACCGGTTAGCTTGAAGAATTCTACATAAGATTTCTTTAAAAAAATAATAACATTTTATTTGTAATATGAAGTATTAAATACTAGGCACTAAATACAATATAGGGGGTAGGGGAGGCTGGGGGAAGGTCAATTGGAAAAAAAAGGAAAAATAAACAAACAAAATAAATACAATATAAAGTTATAGTTGTACCTTTAACTTTAAAAATTTGCCTTTTGTAACTCTTAACACAGAGAGAAACATACACTATTTCCTGGGCCATTTGAAAGTAAACAGCAGGTAACATTTCAACCTAACACATTTCCTAAGAATAAGGACATTCTTCTACAAAACCATAATACTATAATCACATTAAGAACAAAAGTAATTTCCTAAAATACCTATTTCATAAATTTAGATTTTTCTCATTGTCCCCAAAATGTACTTCATAATTTGTTTTTCTAAATCCAGTCAGGACTCCTGCATTGCATTTGATGATTACGTTTCTTCAGCTTTAATGTTTTTGTTTTCCATTAACATTAAGTTTTTAGAGAAATGTTAGTTGATTTGTAAAATAGCTTATAGTCTGTAGTTTATAATTGTTGGTTCAAGGTGGTAAATAGCATTGTTCAAATATTCTATATTTCCTCACTAATTTTTTTTTTTTGGCTTTTCTTTCTTTTAATTACCAAGAGATGTTTTCAATATACTATTTTTCTCAATTTTTCTGTGATAATTATTTGGCTCTTTAGAGATTTCATTTTTCTATTGAAGTTCTCCATATTTTTCTATTTAGTTAATATTTTTCTCTATTAAAAAATTAAAGCAGTTATTTTACAGTCTTTGTCATCCTATTCCAACATATAGTTTACCTGTGGGTCTGTTTCTTTTGGCTGTTTTTTCTATTATGTTTATCTGCTTAACTTATTACTGGTAATTAAAAAAAATACATATACTAGCATTGTATTTAGAAGAGACTGGTGTAAATATTATTTTTCCCAGAGAAGGCATGCTTTTTTCTGACAGGCAGCCAGGATGAGAAACAGAACAGTTTGATCCCATCAGATGTTAAGCTGGATTGAAGGTAGGTTACCTCTTTAGCTAGTTTGTTCACCTCTGGCATCAAATGCTTTGAGGACGAGTCCTGTTCTATGTATATTAAAAGTGCCATCCTCTAGTGCAGTGATGGCGAACCTTTTGAGCTCCGCGTGTCAGCATTTTGAAAAACCCTAACTTAACTCTGGTGCCGTGTCACATATAGAAATTTTTTGATATTTGCTACCATAGTAAAACAAAGATTTGTATTTTTGATACTTATTTTATACTAGAGGCTTGGTACACAAAAATTTGTGCTCTCAAGGGGGTACCTCAGCCCGGCCTGTGCCCTCTCGCAGTCTGGGACCCCTTGGGGGATGACCACCTGCTGGCTTAGACCCGCTCCCCGAGGGATTGGGCCTAAGCTGGCAGTCAGACATCCCTCTGGCAGCCCGGGAGCCCTCAGGGGATGCCCACTTGCCAGCAGGGAGCAGGCCTAAGCTGCAGTTGGACATCCTTAGCACTGCTAAGGAGGCAGGAGAGGCTCCCACCACCACTGCTGTGCTGGCAGGCATCAGCCTGGCTTGTGGCTGAGCAGAGCTCCCCCTGTGGGAGCACACTGACCACCAGGGGACATCTCCTACATTGAGCGTCTGCCCCCTGGTGGTCAGTGTGTGTCATAGTGACCAGTCATTCCCAGTCATTCTGCTGTTAGGGTCAATTTTTATATTACCCTTTTATTATATAGGATATTTAAATGCCATTTAACAAAGAAAAATCAACCAAAAAAATGAGTTCACATGTCACCTCTGACACGCATGTCATAGGTTCGTCATCACTGCTCTAGTAGGACTCTGACCAAGGAAGAATGCAGACAATTTTCTCTACTTTTTAGTTCCACTCCAAGACTCCAGTGCTATTCTCCTGCCTTTATGTACTCAAAAAGCTATGGAGGTAAGCAGGAGAATGGCGAGAACAATCT